GGGGCCTGGCCCTTCTGTCCCATAAAGCACATCTGCCCTGGATGGTGGGACAGCTGAGAAGCCCAGAGACCCCTGCCTGAGCCCCAGGCGTGCAGCAGCCCCTCCCACCGCCCAGGGGGCCCTCAGCCCAGAGAACTAGAAGTTCTCAATGTCTCCTCCTCAATGTCAGGAGCTGCCTGCCTGTCACCCCCTTTCCCCACACCCTAGAAGGACTGCTGAGATGCACACTGGCTCTGGGCTCCGAGCCGGGAGGGCATGGAGGCCGCAGAGGGCACCAGTCAGAGGCCAGGCCCACTGACCACCAGGGGAGCGCCTACCGCTCCTGGGCCCCTGAGGAGAGGGGAAGCGGACACAGCTACCCCCCAGGGCTGGTGGGCAGCCTGCAGGCTCCTTCTGACCCTGCCCCAGCAAAGCCACCCAGGAGGGAGACAGCAGGACGGCACAGTCTGGCCTGGGTAGGGAGGCTGGCAGAGGGGAGCGGGCTGAGGCAGAAGCACAAATAGGTTATGTCAGGCGAGCGCTCTGGGGAGGGGGCCCACGCCTCTCAGCTCTGGCAGCCCCACGTGGGGCCCACGCCCAAGCCTCAGGAGGGGGCTCTCTCCAACCCCTCACTTCCTCCACCGCCCACACCCCACCCCAGGGCTCCAGGACTCCATCCCCCAAATCCAGGGGACCCCCATTTCTCACTCGGAGGCTCTGCCTGCCATCTGCCCAGCGCCCCCCCCCCACCATTCGACAAGCTGCACCTGGACAGCGCCTGACACCCCCTGTTTCTCCTGAGGTTCGGATGGTGTCAGGAGCTGGGGGACAGGAAGATGCCAGAAAATGAACCGCTTTCCCAGGGCTGTGGGCTCGGGGGATGAGTGGGAGCTCAAGGAAGAATAGGGGGGTGCTCACTGCAGGCAAGGTCAGTCAAAGGCCAGCAACGCAGTCCGGGGACTGAGGAGGGGGCCCCTCGCAGTCAGTCATGGCTGGGCAGCCAGGGCCCTGTGTGTCTTGGCGGAGCGGGACCCCTGGGCGGCCAGGTATGTAACAATTCCAGCCATTTCCTGCCCTATTAATGAGAAAGGGGTTGATATAAATATACGCTCAGCATAAATAAATACAGGCCAGGCCCAGGGCTGCATAGCAGACAGATTGCGTGGAGCTTCTGGCCAGCCCTTCAGCCAGCTCCCCTGACCCTGCCCGCAGTGCAGCCCCCCCCCCCCCCCCCCCCCCCCCCCCGTTTTCCTCCGGCAGGCCAGGGCCCCTCCACACACACAGGCCCGAGGCAGATGGACTGACCGCCCTTGCCCTAGGCCTCAGGAATGGGGTTCCCGTGGCCCCTGGGAAGGCGGCAGGCCCGAGAGAGGGAGCTGGGGTTCCCGGGCCCTCCTGCCTCACACACAGACCCGATGACAGCCCTGTGAGGCCTGAGGTGCTATGCTCAGGCCTGCTCATAGGTGGGGAAACTGAGGCTCACAGGGTTAAGGGATTTGCCTAAGGTCACACAACCGGGAGGCTGTGGATCCAGGATTCAAACCCGAGGCTTTCTCACCCCAAGGCCCGTGAGCTGCCCACTGTGTGTGAGGGGCAACCAGGGGCAGCTTCGTGCCCTCCTGCCTTCCTCCCAAGCCCCTGCCCCTGGATGCCAGGGCCCTCAGAAGGCCCTGGAGGACTTCCGGTAAGGCCTGGAAGTGTAGCTCCACGGAGCCAGACCTCAGCTTGGGTAAGATGCACGTGCAGCCCCAGCCCCACCCCACCCCACCCCTGCTCCAGACCACCTCCCAGCTGGAGCACCCAGGTCACTGAGGTCCCTCGAGTGCTGGCTGTCCCATCGGGGATAATCTGGTCACCCCACACCGCACAGACATGGAAACTGAGGCCCAGAGGCAGAGCTTCAGGTAAGGTCACAGCAAGAAGCAGGTCAGAGCCAGGGAACCAAGCGTCTGCCACCAGGCCTCCTCCTCAGGCCCTGGGCATCCCTCTCGCAAGCCTCCCCCTGCTCAGTGCCACCCCAGCTCCCCGGCCTGGATGCTTCCCAGGGTGGACTCAGGTGTCAGCCTGTGTTCTGGAACCCAACCAGGGGGCCTTCGCTCGGCACAGGTCAGCCACAGCAACTAGGAAAAGCCAGGTCCAGAGAGGTTCGGAGCCTGACAACGTTCATACAGCACGGGGCAGATCTGGGGCGGGCACCCAGGAGCTGTGGAGCATTCCTCTCTTGTAAACCCAGCTCAAATGCCCCCCTCCCTCAGGAAGCCTTCCCAGCCACCCTGGCCCAAAGGATGGGCTCCCAGTCTGCCCTCAGGCCTGCTCTGCCTCCCAGGCCTTGAGGGATTCTCTCCCCAGTGTGTCGTGTGAGTGGGCACTTAGCCCAGGCAGCCGCCATAGAGTGCCCCTACCTCCTGCCGTGCAGAGCCCCAGTGTGGAAAGTGGAGGCCAGGCCTGTTCCAGCTGCGGCCTCATTCCCACCAGGAGCCAAGGATTTGGGAGCCAGCTGTCTGAGGGGGCAAGTTGAGCAGGTGGGCATGGCCGGGACAGGATCATCCTGAGTCCCAGCTGGTGTCCTGGCCCTAGCCCACACCTCAGGTTTAAGGCCAGGCTAGGCTCTCAGCCTCTGCAACCACAGCCCCTCCCCCAGCCCTGGCCCCCCCTGCCCCAGAGGTCTCAGCCCCAGACCGCTGGGGATGTGGCAGGAGGGGTGGGAGCGTGGCAGGTGAAGGGCCACAGAGGAGCTCCCCAGGGCTGGGGCTGTAGCCCACCTGCACCCCTCCCTGCCCGCATGCGGTTCCTCTGGGGCCCACCCTCTCCAGTGCTTCGGAGCTCCCCAAGGGAAAGGGCAGAACTGGAAGCTGACCTCAATGCAGCCATTCAAAAGGACAAGACATCCATGTGGACTGACTTGGAAATGGGTGGGTGGCATGTCGTCAAAGGCAAAGAAGCCTTTGGCCTAATGATGTGTGTAGTAGGATTGTCTCCGTCAGAGACGGATCTGCAGGTGTAACGTGGGAACGTGCCTGCAGGCTTGCATATGTGCAACGCATCATGGCTGGAAAGATACACAGCACACAGATGACCCCATTTCTCTCAAGTTTCAAACCAGAGAGGAAGGAAACATTTTTATCTTAATATGTCTGTATTGTGGGTAATGTTTTAAAAAGTTAGTAGAAGGAAAAATACTAGTATCACATACACAGTCTTGCCCCTAGCCCCACTGGCCAGGGCGGTGCCAGCCTCCCTGCTGGTCCCAGCCTCCAGCCCATCCCCCAGCTCCATCCTGGCTCCCATCATTTCCCCCTTCCCTGCCCCCCACCAGGTGCAGGCCATCACACTTCCTGTCCCCTTCTGGCCGTTGAGGCCCCTCTCCACCTGCACCTTCCCTCCCTGCCAGCACCCACAGGACAGGCCACAGTCCTGTCAAGCACCAGCTTGGGCCCATGCAGCTCCATATGCCTGCCCTGGGGCCTCCTTCCCACTCCCCCCAGTCCCCGACCTCAGCAATGGGCCAACACCACACACCTCAGCACACAGCTTTCCCTACAAGTTGTGTGCATGTTCTGGAATCCCAGTCATGTTTACTCCAGCACCTTCCCAGCAGATGTTCTGCCTCGTGGGCCAGATGGGAGCCCTTCAGATGTCTCCCCCAGGGGCAGGCAGGTCTGCTTGTCAGACTCAGAGAAGGAGCCCAGAAGTTCACCCCACATCTACCCTGGGCCATCTGCCGGTCCATATGGGAGGCAGGGCAGGAATCTGGCCCTAATTTCCCCAGGAACCAGAATACAGAAGGCGAACACAGGGCAGAACTCTCTGGAACATCTCCCCATACTCACACACCCTCAGGCTTGGGAGTGAATGGAAGGTGATTGCTGACTCCCACAAAACCATCCCTCCCCCTCCTCTCACGGAATCACTGGCCTCAGGGGCAGGGGGAGTCTGCCCTACAGCCACCTGAGCTTGCTTAGCTCCCTCAGCTGAGATTTTAAATGTTTCCCTCTCCCAGGAGATGGACAGATGGATGGATCTGTGGATGGATGGTAAGTGGGTGGGTAAACAGGCTGAGGAATGAATGGATGGGTGGGTGGACGGAGGGACGGATGGATGGATGGATGGATTGATGGGCAGATGGATGGATGGATGGATGGATGGATGGGCAGATGGATGGATGGATGGATGGATGGGCAGATGGATGGACAGATGGATGGGCAGATGGATGGATGGATGGATGGATGGATGGACAGGCAGATGGACGGACAGGCAGATGGATGGATGGATGGGCAGATGGATGGATGGACGGATGGATGGATGGATGGACGGATGGATGGACAGATGAATGGGCAGATGGATGGATGGATGGATGGACGAACAGGTAGATGAATGATGGATGGATGGATGGGCAGATGGATGGATGGACAGGCAGATGGATGGTTGGATGGGCAGATGGATGGATGGATGGGCAGATGGATGGATGGAGGGATGGACAGAGGAATGGACAGATGGGTGGACAGATGAATGGGCAGATGGATGGATGGATGGATGGGCAGATGGATGGATGGAGGGATGGATGGATGGATGGATGGGCAGATGGATGGATGGAGGGATGGACGGAGGGATGGACAGATGGGTGGACAGATGAATGGGCAGATGGATGGATGGATGGAGATGGATGGATGGATGGATGGACAGGCAGATGGATGGATGGTTGGATGGGCAGATGGATGGATGGACAGGCAGATGGGTGGATGGATGGATGGGCAGCTGAGTAGTAAAATGAGGGGCTAAGAGTGTAAATGAATGGATGGGCTAGTTGCCGACTAGCTCAGGAGTCACTACTTCTCAAAGGAACTTTCTAAATCTCTGCAATGTGAGGCCTTAGCACCCCCCAGAGGCCAGAGTCTCTAACGACCCATCTCCCTTAAAGCCCTGGGCACAGACAGTCCTGAGAATCAGGGGCACAGACCTAGCGAAAGTTAGGTCTGTGCCCCAGTGCTGGCTCTTCCCCTGACTCACTCTGGGGACTTTGGGAATGTTCAACCTTCTGAGGCTCAATTTTCTCATCTGGAAAATGGAGCTAATCAAACCCGCAACCTGTAATGCTATGAGATTTAAACAAAGTTACGTACGTAAAGTGTCTGAGAGGGTTACCTGGCACAGATCCAGGGCCCACGAAATATGATTTCCTTCCCAGAGGCAGCCCTAGGGCACACATGAACACACACACACACGCACACGCACATGCACACGCACACCAGTAGGGAAGAGGGACACAGAGCGAGACCCCAGGCTACACCAGGTCCAGAAAGGCAAATGGGGACACACTTATTCTGCAGGGGTCCCATGCTCCGGCAGAGCTGGCCCAGCCTTGGGGCCCAGGGGCTCGGGGAGGGGGGACGTGGACGAGGGTCCTGAGCCCTGCGGGGGCTCAGCTTCCTGGGCCTGGGCCAGCTGGGCTGTGTGCTCAAAGGCAGCTTGCAGCAGGTGGGAGGCAAGGCAAGTGGTCCAGGTGATGAGATAGGCCAGGTGCCAGGTGAGCGCTGTTGGGGTCTCCACCCACCAGTACAGACGCCTCAGCAGGGCTCGGAGCTCCGGCACCACTCGGTTGTCCAGCAGCGCCTGGAGGGGATGAGCCGATGGGCAAGTGGCCGGGCCCAGGGCCCCCAGGCCTGCCCTCACGCGGCCGGCCCGCCCACCTTGCTGAGCAGCCCGGCCAGGATGCAGCGACGGGCCCTCCGGCATAGCCTCCAGGTCAGCAGCAACAGCAGCAAGCCCGCCAGCATCAGGCTGTGCAGGCAGGACAGAAGCAGCTCCGTGCCGGTGGCCGCAGACAGGCCCAAGGCCCGGGCCCAGCGCTGCACGCCCGCCCACACCAGCCGGGGCGCCCGCAGCCCCAGCCACATGGGGACGCCTAGCAGTCCCCACCCCGCCTGCAGGGCCCGGCCCAGGGGGCAGGCGGCAACCCCGGGGGCTGGATGGGCCTGGCGGCCGCGGGACCCCCAAGCCTCATGACCCAGCCCCGACAGCCAGTGGTTGAAGAGGAGAATCTTGAGGAGCAGGAGATTGTAGAGGTGGACCCGGTTCTGGACCAGCTGCAGGAGGGAGGGAGAGCCAACCCGTTGTCACTCATATGGGGGAGGTGCCCCACCTGCCACCCCGGGCCGGGCCTCCCCTCCAGGCCTCAATCGCCCCAACAAGAATGATCTTTATCTGCCCACTTCTAAGGACTCCATTCTCAGAAAGGGGCTTTAGAAAGTATTTCATATTATCCTTGATTTTCTTTCCCTTGGATTGAAGTGAGTATTTATAATACTCTAGACAGAAGGAAGTGGGTTTATTATTATTATTATAGAAGGAGTGACCATCCATCCCCCTCAGCCCTCTGATCCTGCAGGATTTGAACCCCGGGCAGGTTTTGTCTCTCAAACACCTGGGCTCTCCTGCCCACCGGTTGCCTGTTGGTGTCATGAGGGTGGCTGGGGGCAAAGGGCAGTGCCGTTAGGGGTAGAGAGATGGGAGGCATGGGGGCAGTGACCGAGGGACTGAGAGACCTACGGAGAGAGAGGGACCCAAGAAGATCTCCGGGCTTCTGTCCTGGGTGACAGGGTGGATATGATGTCTCCCATCCAAGGGGAGAAAAGAGTGAGCTGGAGTGGGGAAAGAGTCTGTAAACGGGAAAACTCCACCTGAGTCCTGGGGCTGAATAGCCCCTCTTCAGAGCTCAAAAGCCCCCTATCTGGACCCCACGCACCCTTGTCCAGAGGACCACTTGGAGCCCTAGGGGTGGTGTGGGAGATAGCCACTTGGGGTTGGCTGTGCACCCCACCATGGGCACCGTGGCTTGGGGTGGGGCTTCTGAGGCAGGCAGTCACCTAATGCCACCGGTTGGGACAGGTCCATGCTGTCCAACAGCTCCGAGGTGGCTGTGAAGGGCTGGGAGGACCCCACCCCAGTGCCCCCTGCACCCCACTCACCAGCACTGAGAGCTTCACCACCAGCAGCAGAATCCCCAAGAGGCTGGATCTGACCAGAGGGACGGCCTCCATGTCTGGCCCTTCTCTTCCTCCAGCTGGGAGAGGGAGGGTGACCTCACAGATACTGCAAGGTGGGGGCCAAGTTACCATGGGGACCCAGTTGCCGCAAGAGACCCCCTTTTGCCTGCCTCCCGCCCCTGCCCTACACAAAAACTAGGGTATTTGTCTTCTCCGTCCTGTCCCCTTCCTGGTTGGAGACTGCCCCAGTCTCCACGTCTGACCTGCCCACAGGGACGCCGGAGAAGGTCCTCAGATGGACTGCCCTGGGGCCTGCATGATTCCCAGCAATCTGTCAGGCCCTTCCCCAAACCGTGGCTGAGGGTGGCTGGGTGCCGCACCTGCCCACATCCGTGAAAATCCCAAAGTACCAAAGGCCCAGGAAATAGAAATCATGACCCCCAGGGCCACGGGTGACACAGTATTTGGAAACAGATGGAAGCCTCAGCTGCCCAAACCTCCAGGCTCCCCACCGAAACACACGCACCCCACCCCCAATCACAAAGCAGAGAAATGAAGTTGGGACTTTTCCTCTCAGATCTTAATGATGCCTGAGAGCCGTTAGAGGAGAGCAGGGGAGAAAAAGTGTGCTGACCCAAAGGCCCCAGAGAGTTCTGGAGAGAGGCAAGGACTGAAGGAAAGCGAACAATTTGCTGAGCTAGCCCACTCCAGGAGGCCATCGGCCGCCTGGAGTATCTCACAAAGCTTGCCGGAGGCTGGGATTAGGGTCAGAGGCTTAGAATTTTCTGGGAGAATCCAGAACCTTGATCACGGGATTTCTCACTTCGCTCTGCCGTCCGGTCCCGGTAGGGGGCCCCAGGAGGCTGCAGGAGGTGGCTGCCGGGCCTTTTAGAAAGTTTTAAAAGCACGCCCTCTGCAGGACAGGCTGCTGTAGTGCAGGGCTGGGTGACTGGAGGGCCCCCTTGTGCACATCAGAAAGGGTGGGTGTCACCCCAGCCCTTGCACACAGCGTGACTTCAGTCCTCACTTGCCACCTCGGCTGGGCACCCTTGTGCAGGATACAACCTGCCCAACGGCACATGGAAGCCTGCCATGATGAGTCCCTGGAATGTCAAGGATGACCTCTGCCCAGGGCAGTCCTGTTCACCCATTTGTTTCCTCTCCTGGGGCAGACAGATGGGGTCTGGGGGGGGGGTGAAGTGTGCAAAGTCCCTCCACTCTGTCCTCTGCCTTGCCCCTCCCCAACCAATCTGTGTGCCTGCAACATTATGGCACTAAGGGGTCACCTTGAGCTAAGTTTTGAAGGGAACCATGGGGGCCATGGAATATTCTCTTACACAGTGAGAGCCATGCAAGAGCTGAGGCAGCAAGGAGAGATTGTTGTGGGCTCTAGGACAGTCCCTCCCGCTCGTGAGGAGGTGAGAGTAGCAAGTAGGGGTCTGGGGTGGGGGGGGGGGGGGGGCGGGGCCATCAGCTAGGAATCCACAACATATACAGGGGAAGGTTTAAGATGGTACCCTACTTGCAGGCTAACCAGCCAGCCTGCCCGAGTTCCTTGGCTGCTGGCAGAAGCACGAGGTTCCCGGGTCAGAGAGAAAGGACCATCTATTGCTCACAGCACTAGCTGCTAAGGGTTTAGCATTGGTTCCTTGAGTCCCAAATCCCACAGTGTGACATGGACAGGGCCATAGGACACCCGTCCGCCCAGTGGGTATATTACGAGAGAGTAAGCCTGGGCTCACAGAACCCGAATCTGTTGTAATGGGCAGTAAGCAAGCCTGCCTTTTGCTCCTGAGTGAGACATTATCTTTATCAAGCTGGAGCATGCCTGCGTTTTGCCCCAGATGGAGACGCCATATATTCCAAGGTTGTCTGATACACAGACATCTTGAAAAGATAACCCAGATCAAAGATCAGTGCGCGGAACCATGAGAGACCTGTGCACTTGTCTCCCAACAGAGGGTTGAAGAAAGAGAGGTAAAGCAAGGCAGGGGTCAGGGGTCCCCCTCAGAAGGCTTGGATGAAGGGCGGATGGTGGTGCTGTCCACCAAGGTGGGGGTGGGGAGGAGGCGTGGGTTTGGGGAAGGTATTGACAGATTGCTGGGAATCACACAGTAGGGCCAGAAAGTAGGATTTTTGATGTGTTTTCCTTCCTCCCTCTCCTCCCCCACTATCACCCAGCACCGCCATACCAAGAATTCTACTGTCACTAAGGTGAGTCGATGGTCTTCAACCTCACACTGACCAAACCCCCTGGACCATGTAGTCCGGGCAGGACTGCCAGGGCAGCCCCTCGGGGCATCTCTCAAGACCAAGCTGGTTCTCCGTCCCAGCTCCGTCAGGGGTCCCCCCCATCCCCTCCAGAGCTTGGTCCCCAAGCGAGATTTCAGCAAGGCCTCTCTGTGGCTCTGTGCTTGCTCAGACCACAGGAGGCGAGGGACACAGAGGGGCCTAAAGGCCTGGAAATCCAGTGACAGAGGCCAGGAGCTCCCCCACACCTAGCCTCCGCCATGCAGTACCATTGGCCGGAAACCCCAGAGTCCCCCCGCCCCCCACCTTCCTTCCTCACCTTCCTGCCAAGCCTCCTGCCAAGAACGTGGGTTCTTAGGCCGGGAGCCCTCCATCCCCTTCTCTTTCCTACTCAACTCCTAGGTTCAAGGCCATCCGTGCACTACGGCGCTATAACGACCTCCCCTCCCGGCCCTGTCTGCACCTTGCAGGGTAACAGGGAGGACCAGGTGGGTTAACCCAGTTACCAGTGGCCGCCGCCTTGCCCGACGCGAGAGGGCGCCATTCCTCCCCCGTGCCCTGCTGCGCAGAGACTCCCCTCCCCAGCCCAGGACTTAGGGCTACAGGAGGGCAGGCAGCCCACCTTGGACTTGCTCCGATTCCTGGGGCCCGAGGGCTCTCAGGTGCGCTCCCCTGCGGGTGCAGGACGACAGTGCGGCCGCGCGGGGGCAGCACACACCGGCGGTGCGGAGCCCGGCGCACCTGCGCGCGATGCTCCACTGGATGGAAAGTTTTCCGTTGCTATTTTGTCCCCAGTCTGGGAGGCTGGTTTCCCTGTAACAACAACCGTGCGTCATCCCGAGGAGCTCGCCCGGTGCGTGTCTCGTCATGCCTGGGTTACTGGAGGCGAAACCACGGGAAATGATCTGGATAAATATTCTCCTTTCTTTCATGTTCCAGGGTTAAAATCTCACTCTATTTCAAATCTTCATTTCCCCTCCCCCCCAGAAGTACACAAAAGTGATAAATATGCTTTCATAGTTACCGGAATTTGTATTTTTGGCTGTCTAAAAATGGCTTTATCGAAGCCACTTAAATACAAAAATAATAATTAAGAACTGATGAATGAGAGAGGAACCTGGATCTGAACTGACCTCTGACATTTACTCACAGGTCTGTGCTTCCGCCCCAAGTCCCTTCTTCTGTAAAACTGGGATATACTTTGTAGAATCTAGCAGGTGAGGTTATGGGGAGGAGTCAATGAAACAGGGTCTGAGAAGGGCTTTGAGCAGCACCTGGCCCGGCACCAATGCTTGGCGGCTGGCGAGTCAACGGAGTCAGCACCTGTGGAATGGAAAGTTAACCCAAGAATTTTTCAAAACAAAATAAGCTACAAGTTAGGCAAAATTGCTTTAAAACATGTGCAAATTTGTAAAAAGAGATGACCTCCACGGTGCATGAATTGAATTGATTCATAAGCCAACATATGGAAATATTCATCTCAACCAAACCACTTTCAGGGGACTCACTTGGAGGCCAAGACTACATTTTTGAAATTCCAGTACATGGCCAAATATAAAGAAGGGTCAATGATACCTTTTAAAATTAATTCAAGAGGGCGCCTGGGTGGCTCATATGGTTAAGCGTCTGCCTTCGGCTCAGGTCATGATCCCAGGCTCCTGGGGTCGAGTCCCGCATCGGGCTCCCTGCTCAGTGGGGAAGCCTGCTTCTCCTTCTGCTTCTCTCTCTCTCTCTCTGTCTCTCATGAATAAATAAATAAAATCTTTTAAAAATTTTTTAAAAATTAATTCAATAAAATTTTGAACACAAAAATGAGTAAAAATGCCTTAAAAATATTGAAAAGGATATAAAGTGGCCAGATCATCCCATTGTTCAAAAACATTATTTATCCCCCAAATAAAAGGTGTGATAAATGGACAAAAATGTATAAATGCCAGCAACTGATTGCAGAGTCACACCTGTGCAGTGCAAAAATCAACAAATGAACAGACAGCAATGGGAAATACAATTTTCACTAATTTGTTTCTTGATCAATTTGTTCGGGACCAATATGTTTAGTGTACTTGATTTCTGCCAGCTCACTCAGACCTCTCTCTCGCAAATTCTCCCACCCACCACCCATCCATCCTCAACCACTCCCCCCTCCCTGCTTGCTCTTTTCTCTTCTTGTGTCCTAAAGGCTTCTTGTGTCCTAAACAAAATGTTCCACCATCCATTGAAGGACATTTAGGTTGTTTCCATATCTTGACTATTGTGAATTTTGGTGCAGTGAATATGGGAGAAGATAGCTCTTCACAATTCTGATTTCAAGTTCTTCGGATATATACCCAGAAGTGGGATTGCTAGGCTCTGAGGTAGTTCTATTTTTAATTTTTTGAGGGCCTCCGTACGTTTTCCATAGTAGCTGTATTAATTTACATTCCAACACGGGAGAGATAGGTAGATTTGTAATAGATAGATTGATAGGTAGATACATACATACATACACACACTGGGATATTATTTGGCCTTGAAGAAGGAAAATTCCTGACAACATGGATGGAGCTGCAGGACATTATGCTAAGTGAAATAAGCAAGACACAGAAAGAGAAATACTGCATGATCTCACCAACTCGTGGAATCTAATAAAGCCGAGCTCAGAAACCGAAAGAATGGTGGTTGTCAGACAGAGGCTGGGGTTGGGAGAAATGGGTTGGTCATAGGGTACAAAGTTTCGGTTATAAAGATGAATAAGTTCTAGAGATCTAATGTACAGCATAGTACGCACAGTTAACAATACCGTATTGTTTACTTGAAATTTATTAAGGAGAT